AATTTTTTTTTTTTTTTCTTTGCAGAACCGGGGATTGAACTCAGACCCTTGCGCTTGCCAGGCAAGCACTTATTCTACTGAGCCATCTCCCCGGCCCCCAATGCATAAATTTTTGAACAAGACATATTAACATTTTGTGAAGGGGCTGGGGAGTTAGCCCAGTGACATAAGTGCCTGCCTGGTAAGCACAAGGTTCTGAGTTCGATCCCTGGTACCAAAAGGGAAAAAAAAAGCTCATAGCATTCTGTGAATGTTGGGGGGGGGGGTTCCAGTAAGAACTGGAGAGTTCCAGCCATTCCTTCAGCCTTCTTCAACTCTCTCCATACATATTTTCAGAATGCATCAGGTAGCAGACAGAAATGGTACTCGCTCCCCAGGAGTGCAATCGGCAAAGAAAACTACCGAAGGTTGCGCCAGGTTTGAGCCGCAGCCAGCGAGGACCAGAGGCTTAAACAGTCAAAAGGGCTCGGTCTAAAGCTCCGGCCGGCCTCTGGGCACCCCTTCTAAGAACCAAGCTCTCAACACCGCCCAGGACAAGGGGGCTGGGCGCGGCGCTTCTGCGCGCCCACTGCCGCGGGACGCTGCCTGCGGGGGCGAGCGAGGGAGGGAGGCGCAGCGCGCAGGATACGCTGCAGCTTGACGTTGTTGAAGAGCGGGCTCTCCTGCGCCTCCATCACCGTCATGCTCGACTGTTTGTGCAGGCGGCAGAAGGACAGGACCAGCGAGCACCAGGCGGCCAGCTGCTTCTGCCGCGTGTCCACGTTGGGCTGTAACCTGCAGGCGAGCGGACAGGGGCGCGGGCTGAGCCCTCTCCAGCGGCGCGGGGGCGGGGCAGCCAGGGGCCGGCGGGGGCGGCGGGGGCCCTCCCCCTCCCCCAGCGAAGCATCGGGCAGAGCCCGGGCCCGGGGGGCGGGCGGAGGCACGGCGGGGCTTTCCTGAGCTGGAGCCTCACGTAAAGAAGGGCGGGAAGCGGTACTGCCACGGCCACTCGAAACTCATCGCCATCGTAGTTGCCCCGGAAACCCGGAAACCCTGCGAGGGACTTCCGGTGTCCCCCTGCGCGCGCCCGGAGAAGCAGCGCAGCACAAAGGTTCCGCGCCTGGGAGAGAAGCTGGGAGGTCCCACGGCGGGATCGCTGGCCCTTGTCCTGCGGCGCCATGGCCGGTGGGACAGAAGGAGGCCTGCGGAGTCCCCTGGCTCAACTCCGGAGAAGAGTCATGAGTTCCCAGCGTAGCTAGAAGAATTCGGGTGGGGGGCCGGGGAGATGGCTCAGTGGAATTAGCGCCTCCCCGGCAAGCGCAAGGGCCTGAGTTCAAACACCAGAATTCGGGTAGATCAAGTCTCCTGCTGGGGGCATGGTGATCTACGCCTAGAATCCCAGCACTGAGGAGGCTGAGGCAGGAGGAGTTCTGAGAGCTCAAGGCCAGCCTGGACCACCTTGCCTGTCATTCTCTAAGCTCCCTGGAGTGGTGCTGGAGAGGGAGGACCCAAGCACATGGCTTGAGTTCCAGATTTCCTGGCTGGCCTCACTCCTGGCTCTCGGGCACCCTAGTGACCCTTCGTTTTTCCCTGACACCGGTGCTTGCAGAATGTCCTTCCAGTTCCACAAGATTGAGGCCAGGCCTGTCAACCCGTAGTGTGCGCTTCTTTGTCGCGGTGTTTGGTTCATCCCTCAAACATTCCACTCCACTTTTACTCCTTCCTTTTTAGACTCAAAGGAAGAAGTGTCTCTTCCTTTACGACGTCATCCCTTAGTGTATCCCTGGGCCTCCAACGTCCTCCAGGACTCCATTTCCATCCTGCCCCCCTCCTTTTACCCTGGCGGCTCCCCGCAGGCTACAAACATGCTCTGGTCACCCTCATGTCTTAGTTACTTTTCTCTTGTGGCTGAGAAAAAATACCTGACACCCAAAGTTAAAGGAGAAAAAGGTTGTTTAACTTACAGGGCTGGCGAGATAGCTTCGAGGCTTAAGCACCTGCCTGGCAAGTGCAAGGTCCAGAGTTCAATCCCCAGTATCCCCCCCAAAAAAAATTAAAAATAGAATAAATTGCCATCCTGTTTAACTTGCAGTTTGTGAGGTTTCAGTCCATAATCAGCTGGCTCCCAGGCAGGGTAGCTATTCAAGGCACCAGAAGACCGCAAAAGCAGCAAGAGCAGAGGGGTAAACAAGCTTCATCCTGCCCCTTTCATTTGATCCAGACTGCTGGATTAGGGCAGTGCCAGTGGAGTGATGCAGCCATCACCCCGCCTTGACCCCAGCACCCTTCGTCCCAGTCTGACACACTCTAGATTCAACTACCTTCAAAAAAGGCTGCCCACCATGACTGCGTGGGGGGAGGCATCTGACACAACCCGTAATGCCCTGCTTTAAAAGCTTACCCTCGGCCCTGCCCTGGCTGCCTCCTCCACCCCACGTGTGTCCCCTAACCCTCTCTTCTCTCAACCACCCATCACACACACCTCCTGGTCCACAGTGGGACCAACAAACATTTGTTGGCGAGTGAGTGAACTTTTCAGCGGGCAACACTTCCTCCAAGATAAGTACTTCCACGCCATTATTCCCTCCGCTTGCCTCTCTGACCTCGCTGTCTCTCCCATTCCTTTGCCCCTTCACCCTT